AGCAGTTAGACCTGCAGGTCCTGAACCAGAAGATATCATTACAGTCACATGACCTGGGGGTGGGGGGTGGCAAAGAGAGGGATGGCAGAGGAAACAATGTGATTTAAAAAAAAAAGTGGCGGGGGGTGGTGCAGCTCTGAAGAGCCTTAGTAGCAGTGGGACTGGGGCTCTGAGCTTAGAAAATCAAAACTATGAAATCCAAAGGTTACCTATCTCAGCACCTGGTGTTTTGGCTTTAGCTCCCATTCTTGGCCAAGCAGCACCCCTAACCACCCCCTGCCCTGCACAGACACTTCTCATCTGAGAACACCCTCCATCTCCTCTGCACCTTCTTCCCACTGAGCAAAGCCAAGTTCTCCTTCAGGCTTGACTGTGTAGTCCCTCCTCCTAGGTGAAAACATCCCTGGTCCAGGCATTACCTCAGCAGCTCAATAACCTGACTTTGAATTCCAGCTCTGTCACTTGACAACTATGTGGCAACCTTTAGCCAAATAACTTCAGTTTCCTCATCTATACCATGGAAATGATAATAATACCCACCTCATAGGGCTGCTTGAAAATGAGTATGCAAAGTGCTAGCAAAGCACCAGCACACAGTAAGCACTAAATAAATGTTACTATGATTAACATCCCACCCACCTTCAGGCAGTTAGTCATGCCCTCCACCTTTCCTGTCCTCTACTTGGGAACTATTTGCAGGTCTATGTTTCTCCCTGTCTATTCCTATCCCTCCTCGATTTGTGGGCTATATAATATGCAGGGCCCAGTGCTAAATCAAAGTGCAAGACCTTCTGTTCAAAATTAAGAAATTCAAGATGGTGACAGCAGAAAATTAAACCAAGTATGGGGTCCTTCAGAGCCCAGTGTGACCACGGACTCTTTTTTTATGTTTTTATTAGTGCATTATAGTTACACATAATAATGGCCCAGTACTTCCACTTTCCCTTTCTCCTCCCTCTGACTGTCCCCCTTCCTCTCTTCTACTGGTCTTCCTTCTACTTATTTATTGTTGTTTTAATTGGTGGTTTACAGATATATAAAAAGGTGGAATTTGCTGTGGTATATTCATACAAGTATGTAGCCTAATTTGGTCAGTTTCATCCAAAGTTCTCCCTTTTCCCATGTCTTCTCCCTAATCCCCTTCTTCTACTCCAAAAATCTCCCTTCTGTTTTAAGACCTTGGACTTTTGAAACTCACCCTGCTCCCAAATCCCAACCAGCTCTGGGCATGGTCTACAGTAGGTGCCAGCCCCCATGCAATAGAGTAAAAAATGCCAGCAGACACTAGATAGGGCTTTGTGATTTCCATCTAGAATTTCACTTTATCCTTCCCATAGACAGACTGATATCAACCCCATCTTACAGTTGAGAACACTGAGGTACAGAGATAGGGTGTGCCTTCCTCATGGACTACAGAGCCGGGATGTGAACACAGGCCCGTCTGGTGCCAAAGCCCTGCCTCTTGCCCTTCTGGTTCCCCATGGAGGTTGGGAAAACCTGGCCCCATGGGCTGAACTTTGTCAACAAGGCTGAGATGCAGCTCAGCCCAGAGAGACAGAGCTTGAGGGACTAGGACTGGCCCTCTCCCTGCTGAGGCAAGCCACATAAACAACCACTCCCTAGGTGCCAAGGCAGAAGGCAAACTGTCTTTGGAGAGAGGCTCTGCCTGGGGCCACACAGCAGGGGCCACACAGCCCAGCCCACACACTGGAGATCTGACCCCACCGACCCTGCTTAAAACCCTGTAGGGGCTGCCAGTGGCCTCAAGACAAATCCTCAAGTCCTCAGTATCCTACTAGACCAAGGAGGTCTGGCCTGGCTGTCCCTGGGCCTGCCTACACCTTCCCCTGCCCACCACACCAAGCCTGTTGCCACCATTACCAGGTCCCAAGACATACTGTTCCCTCGCTTCTTACTTCTTTACTCCCTCAACTCATTGGCATATTTCATGCCTTGACTAAGATGCCACCCTCTCCAGGAACCCTTCCTAGAACCCAGAAAGTAAGAGAACCTATCACCTCCAATAATGAGTTCTGGAGTCTCCTTGAGTCCCTCCTTTCAACACTTGTCAAATGTGTATAGTTACCTGCTGGGGGTCATGATACTACTAGAATGTTGGCTCCAGGTGGGCAGGGGCTATTTGGCTCTTAGAGCTTGGTATATCCTCAGAACACAGTGAACTGAATGCATCTTCCTGCAACAGAGGCAGGAGGGCCTTGCACTCTTTCTTCTCACCCCTCCTCCGTGACCCTCCTTTCCTTGTCTGGGTATCTTGTGCTCAATGTGTGAAGAGCCCAAACTTGCAAAGGAAAGGGAACCACTACCATAGAGTAGGGGCCAGGCCTAGGCTCAGTCCTGTAGGACCACTTCCTACACTGAATCCTCACCACTTTCCAGATGGGGTGGGCCAGTATAGGTACAAAATATTCCTACTTTCTGGAGGGGATGGAGACTCAAGAGTTGAGGCCACAGAGTGAAGTGGTAACAGGTTGCAAATGGAGGACAGAGGATTTGAACCCTGTTGTCTGATGCTCAAGTACTTTGTCTCTTCTGTGCCCCAGACCACACATCCCTGTGACTCACCACTGCCAGCCACCTTACCCCCACCCAGAGAGCAGTTTCTAACCTACACCGTCAGTCTGCACACCCCAGCCCACAGAGCTCCTCTGTCAGGACAGCACTCTACCAGTGTGGAAGGGGCCAGCACTGAAGTCGCCCCTCTCCAGCATCAACAGAACGCCAGTATGGGAGGAACACCCCCAGGTCAGCCAAATACTAACGCGGGAGGCACCCACCCCACTGTCAGCAAAATGCCAGTACAGAAGATAACACTGTGTACCCCAAGTCAGCAGAACGTGAGCAGGGGAGACTGCTAGTCAGCAAAAGGCCAGTGCAAGAGACACTTCTCTACACCCCTCTGTCAGGGCCCATGACTTGGGTGGGTGTGCACAGAGAGTCCCTAAGGTGGGGCTCCTGGGGTGGGAAAGGCCCTGGGCCCACTGTTGCCTGGGGGAGAAGGCTGCGCTGGGGAGTGGGGCAGACTCAGGTGAGAGTTCTCGCATGGCACTAATGAAATCAACCACCAGCCTGCCCCTCCTTCCCCAGGGACCCTCCAGGCTCCAGCTGATGCAATGCCCAGACCGGATAATTGTTTTCTTGCCTCCTTAAAGGGCCAGCTGCTGTTACTGCTGCAGACCTCACCCAGACCCCTGACAGACCCTACAGAGCCCAGCACCTGGGCAAGGAGAGGAGGAGCCCAGAGAGTAGCAGCCTCAGGCCTGGGCTCTGCAGAGTAAATTCAATTAACGTCCATCCAGAGACCAGAAGTGTTGTTGAGCAAGAGGGAGTGAAAACAGTTAAGACAGTGACACAGACCACATGTCCTCAGGGAAGGGAGCATGGCCCCTGCTGAGTCGTCAGCACCTGGCTCTTGAACACCTGCCCCAGCAAGTGCTTGGCAAAGGATTTACTCATGAGTTCAGCAGTTATCTTACTCTGCTGTCCTGAGTGCCAGGCACTGGGCTAAGACCTAAATCTACCATTTTTCATTTACTCCTCTGAGTAGGTGGGTCTTTTTTATTGAAAGAGGCTCAGAGAGGGGAAGTGATTTATTTAATACCACACTGCTAGAAAATGGCAGAGCCTATGTTTGAAGCCAAGTTTAACCAACTCTGGGCTTCATACTCTGCACAGGGTCAGGTAAGTGTAAAACCCCAGGAAGTCCCTTAAGCCAGGTGCTGAGGACAGGGAATGGATGTGTGGGCCCCAAGCAAATTCCAAAAGACCTGGTGCTTGGTTTAAGCACAGGTTGTATGGGTCCCCTTCCCAGCAGGCCCCTGACCAACCAAAGAATGCCCCATTAGGCTGCCCACTTGCCCTAGGGATGTTGGCAGCTGTGTGATTACAGACTAATTGGTGGCTGACAGCAACTATGGGAATGGCTTATTAACCCCATGGTGACCAAGCCCAACCCAGAGAGACCTTTCCCCCCGCTGTTCAGAACCCAAACCCAAGAACCTCAGACCTGAGAAATCCTGGGTAGGATGGGACCAAAGGGATACCAGCCTTCTTCTCCACACCCAGACAACGCATCTGGGGCTAGGGTTGAGCACTGACATTCAACCAGGTTCCAAATCCCCTAAGGGCCACATTCAAACAGCCCTCAGGTGGCAATGCCAGCCAGTGTCCCTTGCTCTCTGCCCTTAGGTATGGCATTGCCCATCCCAGGCTAGGATCACAAGAGTTATGAGCCCTTCCTGAGTTTCCAGGCCCAGAATCCTGGAAAGAAACACTCCTCAGGACTCAGTTGTCTAGAGAAGGTGATGGGGGCATGAGCTCCAGGCAGTCAGGAGGCCAACCAGGGAGATATCCTTCCTGGGACCAAGAGGTACACAAGTTGCCCACCAAGGGTCTTGTCAAGCCTCCTTGAACCCTGATTCCCCACGGTTCTACTGGCCAAATGTCTTTCCCAGCTTCCCAGAAGCCCCTCTTCCCACTAGAGACTGGAGTGAGTACCACCCTTTCTTTCATGGGATGGCAGGAGAGGGGGGGGTCCTAGGGGCACCATAATGGTGTCACATTGGGAAGAAAAAGTGGCCGCTTCCCAACCAGGGCACAGGCAGGAGGGAGAAAGGTAGGCTGCCTTCCAGTTCCCTTTCCAAGAGGAATTTTAAGCACTTTCCAAAAATGCCAAGCGAGGCAATGCTGTTGAAGACCTAGGGCCCCAGGTGCTCTGAGCATCAGCAAAGAACTCAAGACTCTGGAGCCCCCTACCCCATTTTCCCCGCTTCCTCAACCACCCCACGTCCCCCTCTTATACCTCAGCCCCCGCCCCAGAGCCATCACACTCGCTGTGCTCATCCCCGGGCCCCCGCCCCCCAAACCGGCACACTCACAAGCCTACGTTGCGCTTCACCGCCAGAACCCCCACCCGCGTGGTCCCCCAGCCTGCAGCCCCCTCCCCACGTCCACTCCCAGGCGAGCAAGGCCTACTGACTTACCCCGAGGTGGGGCCGGAGTCCAGACAGGCAAGGGGCTCCGCAGGCCGTGGCAGCTCCGCAAGGCGGGGCAGGTGTTCCCCAGGACCCCGCCCCGCGGACCCGGCGGTAGGCGCGGCCCGGCCCCTGGCGGGCGCGGACTTTGAGAGGGTAGGGACGCGGGGCGGGGAGGGGCGACGAGAGAGGTTCACGGGGGCATCGCCCGCCACCGGGCCAGGCAGCTCCGCTCCGCCCGCCTGCGCTGCCGGCTCAGCACCCGCCACCGTTCTCAGACGCCGCCGGGTGCAAAGCCCGAGCCCGGGCTGGCGGGAGGCGAAGAGGGAGGCGGGGCCTGCTGAGGGCGGAGCCTCTGGTTGGTGGGAGGGGCTATGGAGACTGGGCGGGGCCAGTGCGCTGGGGCTGGTGGTGGGCGGGGCCTAAGGTGGTGGGTCTGGATTTGTCTGGTTGGGGGCCACGGGGGTTGATGAGGCCTTGAAGGGGTGTACCTGGAAGCAGCAGGGTCTGGGAATGCCTCAGGCTTTTCCCTGTCTCTAGGATGCTTCTACCTTCTGCTGGCCATTCCTCTCCTCCACCACCCCTGCCATCTATTTTTTCCCCATCCTTCTTGCTCTTTGAGGCAACTCCCAGGACCTCATTGGCACCGAGTCGCTCCTGCTCTACCCTGAACTGGATCCAGGAATGTCAGATGGTGAAAGAAGGGGAAACAACTTACAAATAAATACCAAGTCCATTTTACAGATGAAAAAACTGAAGCTCAGAGAGAAGGAAAGACTTCCCCAAGTGCCTGTGAAGAAAAAGAATACAATGTCCCTTTCTAACAGAGGGTAAGGGAGGACAGAGTATCCTTCCCGTGACCTAAGTTAACCTCCTTCACCCGCCCTCCCTACTCCTTCTAGGACTGTAATTTTCAACTAGAGACATTTCTCACCCCCTCAGGGGACTTTTGACATTGTCTGGAGACATTTTTGCTTTTCACAACCTAGTGGGATCTCTCAGAAGAGACTCTGGATGAAGTCAAACATCCTGTACAGGCCAGCCACCAAACAAAGAACTATCAGGTCCAAAATGTCAATAGTACCAGGGTTGAGAAACCCTATTCTAGGGAACTCCAAAGTGGATACCCTGAGTCCATGTTTCTTAGCAGCTTGGGACTTGAGGAGCATGAGTTTGAGCTTGCTTAGAACAATTCAGTTTGGTGTTTTTAATTTCACTCATTCTAAGAAGGACAGTATTATTATTATCATTATTGGTCCTGGGGATTGAACCCAGGGGCACTTAACCATTGAGCCACATCCCTAGAGGCCTCCCCCCTCCACCTTTTTGAGACAGGGTTTCACTAAGTTGCTTAGGGCCTTGCTAAATTGCTGAGGCTGGCTTTAGACTTGCCATCCTCCTGCCCCAGCCTCTCAAGCCACTGGGATTACAGGTGTGTGCCACTATGCCCAGCTAGAAGGACAGTATTTTTTAAAAAACCTTTTTATTGATGTGTAATAATTGTGCACAGTGGGATCCACTGTGACATGTTCGGACATGCACATAACATAATTTGGTCAATCTCTTCCCTAGAACTTCCCTTCTCTCCCCACCTCTCTCGCCCATCCCCTTCCTCTACTCCATTACTTTCCCTTCTATTTTCATGAAATTCTACTACTTTTTTTCCCTAGAAGTACAATATTATTAAAATTTGTTGGAGCAGGTAAAGCAAGTATTCGTCCTGCTGAGGATACAAATTAAATGTGAATGGGGAGTGGGAGGTGGGATGTACAAGGGAAATTATTGAAGTTAAAGGACCTTCTGGGGGCTGGGGATGTAACTCAGACTTATCTGATTTGGGAGAAGGGTCATCCAAGGCTCAACAAAGTGAAAAGCCTAAAGCTGGGTCCCAAGGTGGTCAGAGGTGAAGCTGAGACTCATGATTTTATCTAATTATTAATTTCAATGTTATCATCTAATCCCCATCAGTCCTAGGCCTAGAACTAGGGCTTGCTCGCCTGGGAGTGGACGTGGGGAGGGGCCTGCAGGCTGGGGGACCATGCTGGTGGGGGTTCTGGCGGTGAAGCACAACGTAGGCTTGTGAGTGTACCGGTTTGGCAGAACAATTGCTCTGGAGGGAAGAGGACTAGGTTAGGGGAGGCAAGATGAGGGCCAGGGAAGAGGTGAAGATAGGAAGAGCAGAGCCTGTGAAGACTGGGAGAAGAGAAAATCAGACTTCCTTTGTGCTTTTCCCTTGCCCCTGTCAAAGAGACATGCAAATCAGGTGCTCTCTATAGAATCATGATTCCTTTGCACATCTGATGAAAATTTTAGATTTTCTCTCCAAAAGAGAGAGTTCAAATGTACATTTTTCATATAATTTCAGAGACTCCAAAGTTCCATATGGGCTTTCAGAAGGGTTAGGTGGAGAGGGGATTGATTCTTAAGTGTACATGCAAAAATTAATATGCAGAAATAAAAAAAAATCTTAGCTGGGTGTGATGGCACATACCTGCAAACCCAGCTGCTTGGGAGGTGTGTCAGGAAGACCATAAGTTAGAGGTAGCTTGGGCAACTTAGCAAAGCATAGTCTCAAAATAAAAATTTAAAAGGGCTTAGTTTATAGCTCAGTGGTACAGCCACTTGTCTACCTTGTGCAAGACCTTGGGTTCAATCTCCAGTATCAAACAAAAGCAACAACAACAAAAAACACCTAGAAAATAATAAAGAAAAAAGTCTTGCTTTGGGCTGGGGTTGTGGCTCAGTGGTAGAGCAATTGCCTGGCACGTGTGAGTTACTGGGTTCAATTCTCAGCACCACATATAAATTAATTAATTAAATAAAGATTCATTGACAACTAAATATATTTTTAAAAAAAGAAAAGAAAAAGGTCTTGCCTTACCTGATATCAAAATATATTACAGGGGCTGGGGTTATGGCTCAGAAGTAGAGTGCTTACCTAGCATGTGTGAGGCACTGGGTTCGATTCTCAGCACCACATATAAATAAATGAATAAAATAAAGGTCCATCAACATCTAAAACAAAATTTAAAGAAAACAAATTACAAAGTCAACGTAATTAAAACAATACAGTACTGAAGCAGGACTAGGCAGAGCAGTAGATCAAAAGAAGTACAGAAATGAATGAGCAATGACTGTAGTTCACAATAACCTATCACTACCACTAATACTACCATTATACACATATTTTTCTGTGCTGCAGCTCAAACCCAGGGCCTCATGTTTGCTAGGCAAGCATTCCACGACAGAGTTACCCCCCTAACTCAACCTATTATCAATATTATGGATACTAGAAGAGAGGAAGTGGAAGGTTCCAAACACAAAGTAACATTATGGAGATGGAAACAGTTACTCTGCTTTGGTCAGTACATGTTTGAACTGTACTGAAATGCCACACTGTGACTGCATAAATAAATATGTTTATTAGATGATAATCAAAAATTTTAAGAAACTGTTTAAGGAGAGGCAAATGTTAACTATCCTGATTTGATTATTACACTATATATGACACAGTACCCATAAGTTTGTACAAAAAATAAATAAAAGAGACCCAGCTACCCATGGGAATATGGTGTATAATGAAACTGGAATTTCTGACAAATGTGGGAAAGATAGGCTTTTCAACGATGGGTGGAATAACTACCTAGTCATTTGAGGAAACAGAAGAAAATTATGTCCTTAACTACAGCAAAATAAATTCCAGGGAGAAGATATATTTAGATAATAACACCATAATAGATCAGAAAAAAAAGAATGAGTAAAAAAAATTTAAAGTTTCTCCTGCGTTCTTATTCACCACATTTTCCCTCTACTCCCTTCTTATTTGTCAGTGGACCTTTATTTTATTTATATGTGGTGCTGAGAATCGAACCCAGTGCCTCACACGTGCTAGGCAAGTGCTCTACCACGGAGCCACAACCCCAGCCCCAGTGAATATTTCCATAAGATGGAAAAGATTTTCTAAGTATGATGATTCCTAGAAACCAGGTATTAAGTGTGACTGTAAAAACTTTCATACACAAGAATTGACCATAATCGATTTCAAAGACAAATCACAAGCTGGATAGCATAAATCCCAAGTTGCCCGCCACTCTGCAGGCTGTGGCCCTCTAGCCATTCCGCAAGCCTCGAAGGGACTGTGGGAATCTAGACCGAACATATCACCGAGGCTTCTCCCAAGGCGCCCGGACCAACATCCACCTGTTCAAGGACTGGGAAGTCCCGGAAACCCCAGCCCTGCCATCTGGGTCCCCAGCAGGTGCTTTTAGCACAGCGGAGTTAGTCCTCCAGAAGGCTGCTCTCCACTTCCCTCGCGTGGTCATCCTAGGAACTACAAGCATCGATTCCAGTTCATGCCCCATTCTGAATTTAAGATGAGACCAAGGATTGCTTCCTGGGGAAGTGACACCCAAAATGAGACCTGAAAGTCAGGCAGAAGAAAACTGACTGGGGAATTGGGGCATGGAATGTTGTTTCGAGTGTTGGTGTTTAAAGGTCCTCTTTCCTCTTGAATTTTTCACTTTGGATGCTATCGAGAGCCCACTCCAGAATCAAAGGCCAGGCATAGCAGTCGACTCCTTAGGTTCTGTTGAACTTGCCTTTTCCTCCTTCCAGGGCTGGAAACAGGGTGAGGCACTAAGACAGGTCTCTCTGGTGGTGCAGTGTGCTCCTCCTGCTCACACCCCTGTTTCAGCCTTCCCCAGCCTTTCTAAGACCCAGCTCTGCTTGGGTTTTGCTGCTCTCATGTATGGCTCCCTTTGGTTACAATCCCCCACCCCTTGGCCTGATGAAAGCTTGCTCAGGCTCAGCTCAGAGGTCACCTCCTCCTGGAAGTCCACTGTTCTTCACATTCCTGTCCTCCTCCCTAGGCCAAGATGGTCTTCTGTGTTGCAACAGCAGGGTCCAGGCCACACTGTACAGTGTGAACAAAGCAGGTGTCGGCATCGGAGCCCTGCTGTAATGACTGTTGTCTGGAAACTTCTCTCTGAGCCTGTTTCCTTCCATATGTGTGAAATGCAGTGCTGACTTCATAGGGGAGTGATAAAGATGAAACAAGAAAATGTGTGTCCCCAGCAGTGGTTGGTACCTGGTACTCAGTGGATGGTACCTGGTACTCAGTAGGTGGTAGCTACTGTTACTACCTTAGTTATTCTTATTCTAAAGCACTCATGTATCCTAATTCTTTTCCTGCCGTTATGTTTCCTATATCATAAACTCCTTGGGACAGAGAAGAAGGGGAGGAGAAAGAGGAGGAAAAGGAAGATATTCACGATGACATTTAGAAGGCATTAAGACATGTCTGCTGCATAAGTAAGGAAAAGAAATT